CACCCACATCTCCATCCCCGCTGATACAAGCCAGGAGGGTTTTTTTTTCATTTTTTTGCAATGCCGTCTCCGTGGTTGCTGTTTTCATGACAGCCTGCGGTTGCTTTATCCCTACGCTGCTCTATTCTCCATGTGTATTTCTGCCTGCGGTTTTGCTCGCCTCCCTTTTTATAAATTTTTTTCTTGCCCATTTTTGGCAATGCACTGTAATCACCTTGAATTTAAATTCCTCCCCCCTCACGCCCTCTGTACACCTCCTGAATTCGTATCATAAACAGACCACACCTATGTCAAAATCTTGTTTAAGTCATCTTCATCAACTGGCTTGCTTTCTCTTCTTCATTACGCCGTGAAAAAAAGAAAGGTGTAGTGTAATTTGCTGCCCATATATCACCAATGTCTGTTTTTTAATCATCTGGGTGATATCACGAGGGTGCCTGTAGATTTGTTGTGTTGCGTTCTTTGCTGTGGTTTGTTTCCTGGTATTGGAGCTGGGGAGGGTGCAGCAGTCTAATTCCCTGGATCTTCCTTCTTGCCATTTAAACACTGATTTTAAATTGTTCTTGTCCAGTCTCCTGGGACCTCCTACACCATCCAGGAACTAAAAAAGACAACTGCGAATGATGGAGGTTGCCCATAGGCATTGTGGGAGCTCCATTCTTGGAGGTTTTCAAGATGCAGTTGGATGTAGCCCGGAACAACATGGTGGGCCCCCTTAGCTGCCTGTGCCTTGAGCAGGGCGTTGGATGAGAGACCTCCTGAGGTCCCTTCCCACCTCAGTTACTGTATTTAGCTTCTCTAAACTCTTTACGCTATTCCTTCTTAGGCCTTAGTAGCAGTGGGGAAGATTTATTTATGCAGCTTCATGTCTTAAAATTAGCTGTAGATCTGAATGGCATGCTGAAAGAGGATGGGTATGTTCCTTCCAAACCACTGGGAAAGTAGTGTGTGGTCTCAGAGGCATCCAGCAGCCATGGAGGCATTGGATGGTTAGGACAAACAATGTGGGAGAGGGGGATTTTGCTGCTAGGCCTGGTTTTACAAGCAATTGACAGGTGAATCCCAGCTTTTTGAATGCAAGATTCTACACTGTCCTCTGGAATAAATGTAAGCATTGAACTGCAAGTTTCCCTGGGTTAACTGAGATAGATTTTAGCACTGAAGACAGTAGCTGGTATCTCAGTCTTACGTAAGGAGCTGCAGGCATGAATCCTTTTGCTTGCCAGCAGCAGCCTGGCACTCCATGCATGAAGTTTTTTTACCAGGCTGTTTGTAAAGTCACCAAGCAGTGACTTACTGCTTACTTTGACAGTCATGCCCAACTTTCTTCCCACAGATCTAAACCAACTGACAGTTAAGTATTTAACTAATGCTCAAGTCAAGTTTACTCCTGTAAGTCCTTTATCAAATAACCATCATACTCTTAGATCCCTTCAGCAGGTTTAGAAAATAAAACCGATCTTTTCTTTTCTATTGGATGTAGAAGTGATGTGGGAATGACCTGTTCTGTGTGAAAGACCAGAAAGAAGACATTCGATAAAGGGAAGAAAGAAAACATCTGATAAATGGAAGCCATGAAGATATCAAAGCGATTCTTCGCTTTTGGGATTTTGGCATGCATCGCTATTTATGTTGCATACATAAAATGGCACTTGGATTCCAAACCAGTCGTGGGAGCAACAGAAGGAGTTGCTGAAAGCAGGGGAGACAAAGTGAACCATCACACACTGACCACAGATCTCTCGGTCTTTTACGGAATTATGTTTGATGCGGGAAGCACAGGAACTCGCATCCATATTTTTAAATTTACACAGCAGCCAAAAGGTATGGCCTACTCATTGCATGGTAGATTAATTCTTCCATAACATGTGGAGCAGATTATTGATGATGCTTTTCTAGGGATTACTTGAACAAACATGCTTCAGCTCTTTCTAGAGAGCCAGCAGGAAGTGTATTATGATTCAAGCGTGTGGGTTTGGATGAAATTATCAAAACATTCAACAAGGAGAGAATGCTGTAATGTCAGAACGTGAACTAAATAGCAGCTGTACCTTTAGAACGATGCCTTGAAGAAGAGCAGTTTTTCATCACACTGCTTGGTGGAAGAGAGGATTATAAATTCAGATTGCCTTATTCCCCCACATTTTCACCATGAGGTTGTTGGCTGTCTCCAGTTCCTGACAGCGAGCTCCTTCACTCTGTGTTTTCTGGTTTAGTGCATCCTTGGCTTCAGCGTTGGATTTAAATTGCAGAACTTCAGTGTTCGATTAAAATTGCTGTGTAATGCATCTATTGCTGTGTAATGCATCTGGACAGAAATTATTGCTGAGGAGCGAGACAGAAGTGTACGAGAAAACTCCAGTTTTCCTGTGCTTCATTTGTTTAGGTGTGGTCAGCTCCTATTTGTGAAGCTGATAATGATGAAAGAACCTGTGTGGATGCTGTTAGTAGGTGACCTGGCAATGCTTTTGAGGATTAGCAGTGTGGTGTGTGGTGTGATTGGCCTATGAGCAGCACCTTGGATTTGCGGAACGGGCTAGTGTGAGGCTTAGCCACCAAAGACCTTAAACAACAGTCCATGGATTTCCTTCATTCTTCTTTCAGTGTATTCCCAAATCTTTGCTTCTTCCTTGCCTGCTTCCCTTTAAACAATTTCAGAGTGTATTGCAGGGAACTTCATGGAGTGCAGCTGGTAACAGGAGGAGGATGTTGTCAGGTTCATGTTGTCTTGCCTGCAGGTTCCTGTATGTTGTCTATACTGCAGGTATCCAAAATACGTAGGTCTGGCTCCCTCTGCTGCCGTTGAAAATGGTGGTAAAGCTTCCACTGAGTTTTGCTGGAGTTGAGTTTAGCCAGAACAGAGCATGCTGAAATGTGAGGTCTTTGTTATCGGTGCAGTTTGGAAAGGGCTTAAAGAGAATGTGCACTCATCTGGTGATTGTCTGATATTCATGAAGAATATGCATATTGGACACCAGCACCTGAAAAACAATCATGACTTTTAAAAATGTTTTTCTTGGGACCTAGTTCCATAGCAAGGGCTGTATTTAAAGTTTGAGTGGCTGTTGATAGTTGATTAGACAGAGGCTTCAGTTGGCTTCCATTAGCACAGAATGATGTAATTTGTAAAATTGGTTTTGTGTGTGCAAAATGATTTGTACCATTACTTATTTTGGAATACTGCTTTTGAACAGAGACTCCCAGATTAACCCATGAGACGTTTCAAGCTCTGAAGCCAGGTCTATCCGCATATGCCGATGATGTCGAAAAGGTGATTGTTTTTTTTTCCGTTACTGTAAAAGTACATGCGCCAAAACCTCCTGTTGTTGGTATGCCCTGCAAATCACATCTTGCAGTATGCTGAGCTGTCTCAGTTCAGGGAAGTGTCTCCAGACGATACAAGCCCACACTAAAAGTTGGTCAACACGCAGAGGAGCAAGGAACAGAATGCATGTAGTTCTGCTCAGTGATGTCGTTAATTAAGCACAGTGGATGTTTTTCCTGTCTCTTAAGGATTTCGATGCACTTAAGAAAATGACTGTGTTGTCATGTTAAGAAAAAGATCCGTGTTGGATTGGAGCAGAGCCTTCTCCAAAAGTGACGGGAACTGGATTCTCAGGAAAATAGTCTAAAAAACAGGCCAAGTGCTAAGTGACTTCTCTCCCATCTCCCTTACCTTCTGGCTTACAGGGATGTAGGGACCTTCTGAGCCAGACTTACACCTAGCCCATAGTGTTGTACTGTTTTTTAAGGATTTGTCATCATACTGCCTTTTGAACCTTTTATAGCCAAAACATTCAGTGGCAGAGTTCTATGTCACTGTTTGAAAAAGTGACTCTTCCTGTTTGTTTCTGGCCTGTTGCTGGATAATCCCCATTATATCCATCGGGTCTCATGCTGACCCCTTGTGATATTCACTTGTCTCTGTTCCACACTTACAGTGAATCATACATCTGACCGAAGGGCAAATCTGAAGAGTTTCTAAGATCCCTTTTTTTTAATTCTTTCTCTTCTCACAGAGTGGCCAGGGCATAAAAGAGCTCCTGGAGGTGGCGAAGAAGGAAGTTCCTATGGAGCTGTGGAAGTTCACTCCTCTGGTCCTGAAAGCCACAGCTGGCTTACGGTTGCTGCCAGGAGAGAAAGCTCAGAAGTTGCTGGATAAGGTACTAGTTCTTGTCTTTTAGTTTGTTTTCCAGAGATTTTATAGCAAAATTTGGTTCCTTCTGTGCGGGGTACATACTCCTTTGTCTTCATGTACATGAGGCATTCTTGTCATTTAACCCTGAAAGCAGTACAGAGCCACCTGACCTCAAGCGGGGCTGGGGAGAGAACTTGTGTGAGGACAAGCACAGAGGAATGATGGCAGCTCCAAATAGGTCTGGAGATGATGTATAACGTGACAAGTGTAATGAGATACACCAATCGGTCACCACAAGCTTCTTCTTGCTGGGCATGTTTGTTGGTGGTTTTGACCAGGATCCTGCTATTTTGAGAAAAACTCTCTGCTGTTTGATTGGTTGTGTTATCAGCCTGCTGCTGCAAGATTGCTTCTTTATATTGATTGGAAATAATGTAAATTGTATTTATAGGCATATAAAATATGTTTACTATTTTAAAATATTATAAAAATAAACAAAATATTATGTTCTAGACCTTACAGCTGCAGCAAAAGTTTAAGTGTGCTCTAAGTGTACTCTTTTTCTAAGCAATAATTGGAAGGAAGAAATGTGGTGTGATTGAAACCAATGTCTGTATTGTTCTGTGCTGCCTGCAAGCTGACCCGTTCTGTTCCATGCTGAATTTCAGCTGGAATGGCTGCAGTTGTTGCTTTAGAGGACTCTGGAAACCTAGGGCTTTGCTGCCTCATGTAGGATGTAGTGTAGAGGAACTCTAACAGCCAACATGCCCCTGTTAAAAATGCCATTCCCTGGGGCATTCCT